TCCCTGTCTGTTTGCTTCACATTGAGAGATGTGTCTGCCCACCACATCTGGGCACATCATATGATTGTCATAGATCAGGGATGTCACTAATAATGGTCAGAGAATGCCATCCCAATGGACTTCCTGTGACACACAGACTCCGGGAGAGAAGGTTGAATGTTGTCCTTGGCAACTGTAGACAGAGGCAGAGCCTGCCAATGCTGTAACATGCTGCTCCACTGAATATTACGATAACTTGCTTGTTTGTTTAATTGATATTACTAATGTAAACAACAGTACCTGAAAGTGGAAGATTCCAGCATAGTTCTCTGTAAAGTATTGATCACGAGGGATAACCCGGTACAGCAGCTTCTCATTAAGAGTGAGACATGCAATGGCAGCCAGGAACCAGCAATCACCTGTTAGAAATAGAAATCATCAGCGTCCAGCCAGTCCAAACCCAAAATTAGGGCTTAAGCATCAGAGTAATTTGAGATATGACATACAAACTGAAGTATGTTTGGAAGGAACATGTGACTTTATCCCTGTGGTTTCCAAGGTTTTTCACCACTGGGGATTTTCTCACATTATATCTGGCTATGTTGAAGACTAACTATAGAGATTGATTAATCCAATTATTTAACAACTCCATCATCGTATGACTTGACTACCAGGATGGGATGCAAAGAATGAGATAACAATAATCTTTCCTTCCAAAGTTCCAACTTGGAGTTCAAACAAACTTAGTCCTTTGATAATGTCTGGTATTATGGTAGGGTTTCTGGACAGAGTAAAGATATCCCAGTTTTAATCTGAAAAATTCCAGTCCCTCAGTCACTTGCCCACACACAGACCCACATTCTAATCAAAAGGGCTAAATCAAGACCCTCCCTGATGTTGGGGTCAGATAAGTGAACAAGGTGCTCACCTACAGCATCAATCTTTAAGGGGTGCCAAATTATACTTTACCTTGTTGAGGTAGCATTGTCAGCCTGAGACACTTCATTACAGAGACAATATCACTGGAAAGCAATCTGTTATTGCAGAGGGAGACAATGAGATTGACGGCAGCACCAGGCTAGCAACTGAACACGTTTATGGTTGGTGGATCTGGTGAAGAACCACACAGCCTATAATCTTCAACACCGTTCTCTTATCACTTAATCTCAAGGGGTTCATGTTCACCCATTCTAAGCTTATACAATTCATTCATTCAAGCTCAGCACAATAACAAAGACATGTGATGAAAGAGAAGGAACAGGATACTCAGGATCAAGCAACATGCAAGTCCCTGGAGCATTTTTCTGCCTTCTGTTTTCGGCTCCAAAAGTCACTTGCTTCCACACACTTAGCAGCTGTAATTCTTTCATCCAATGGGAGGGTTGGAAATTCACAGAACACAATGATGATGGCAGAGTGCCATTAGATGAGAACATACCACCTATTCACTGGAGGTCAAGGGGAAGAACACACAGATCTGAGCAATGTGCTTGCACAGTTTGCACAACCCCCCAGTGCACGAATGCTGAAAAGGATATTGAAGGAATATTGTCATAAAATACAGACTCTCTGATCAGTCTCCAAGAATGTGTGGCTTTTAAGTTCTCATTCACAATCCTATAAGGGAAGTTTTTTCCTTCCTTGTAGACATCAGTGTAGCATGTAGCAACATAATTAGAATCAGCAGTGGCACATCACTCAAGATTTGTTTGTTTGTGAGTTGTGAACATTACCGAAGGTCAGAATTTAATGTCCATCTCTGATTACTCTTGAGGCAGTGGTGGTGTACCACTGTCTTGAATCACTGCAGTTCCTGAAATGAAGGTACTCCCTCAGGATTAATAGTAGTGACTTGTAGAATGTTGACCCAGTGGCAGCAATTGAGCAGCAATATCTTTTTCAAGTCAGGTCAGTTCAAAGAGATCAAGGGGGCAATTGTATTCCCATGCACCTGCCACCATTGTCCTTCCAAGTTACAAAAACTGTTTTTGCAAGTGCTATCAAAGAAGCTACTTTTCGCTCAATGATACCCTCACCTTCACCTTGGTGCCTTGATAGCAAGTAAAACCATTGCTTTTCTCCCACCCTGACTGTTATCTCTGGTACCTTAAGTCCAAATGACATACATGTGGAAGGATACGCTCACAACTGGTTTAGCCTTTCAATGCCAGATCTATGTAAAGCAGTATCAGGTCCTGACCTCATCTGCAAAAACTGACTTTTATTCCAGGCTCAACCTAGCTTTGTTTGATTACTGCAAAACTGTCCTTTTTAAACCTAAACCCCTGTCCCCTCCATCCTCAGCTCCAACTATAAATGCGAGGAGCTTATGAATCAATTTGTCACTAAGATTCAAACAATCCTCTGCTCCATCCCTCCCTTTCACTAGCCAACTTGACTAAATGTCCTCTAAAACTCTGTCCTGCACTAGTTTGAACTCATATTTTCCACTAGTTCTCAGCTTTCCTGCTCCTCTGATGCTGCTTGGCTGGCAGTGTTCATCCAGCTCTACACCTTGTTATCTCTTTCTTTAAAGTTCATTTATTTTATTAAAGAACCAGCATGGATTGAATCCTGAACATAACTGGAGTTTTCTAAATAGACAAGAAAGGTCTCAATTTTGATGCCAAGCTATGGTTGTTTCAGTTGATCTCAGTAAGAATAACATCAGGGAAGACAGATCACCCCAAGATTCCAATACCTGATCATTATCTCACTGTAACAGTGATGAGGGACTTCAGTTATATGGAGAGACTAAAGAAGTTCAAATTTTTTTTCTGGAAAGGAAGATTTAAAACGCTGCTCAAAGTTATGAGACATTTTGACACAATAGACAGGGATAATCTTTTCACTGACAGGAAGATCAAGTAATTTGAGTATGCAGATTTGATGTATTTGGCAATAGAACCTTGCAGAGGTGAGGTATTCTTTTTCACTCAGCAAGTCGTCATGATCTGGAGTGCAAAATTTCAGAGGGTGTGAATGCAAGTTTAATTGTAGCTTTCAAATCAGAAGTGCATATAAAATTTAAAAATGAAACGGGACGCTTAGACCTCTCTTTTAGAAAACCAGCACAGGTACAATGGGTCAAATGGTTTTCTTTTGTGTTGTATAATTCTATGATTGTACTAACTTCTGTTGGAGAACCTGTTGATGTCTCTGGGTAAGTGCTTCCCTTTATTGGCTTCAATCCTAGTCCTGTATGTGCTGATACTGGGTATAAACAGAATGGAGCTCAGATGTCATATACTCCCCCACCCCAATTTACCAAGTAAAACAATCACCTGCCACTGATGCTCACTGTCTGCCTTCACACACAAGGAACAGCCACTTGCACCACATCCAGAAAGGCACTAATTACTCAAGAACTATACACCAGTAAGTGAGAGACCTTTTTGATAAAATCAGAGACACCGCAAGGAATCTATGTAATTTGCTAAATTCTGAGCTTGAAGGTGCTCAATATGAAATGGAAGAATGAAACCAAAGTCAAGAAATGTAAGAAGTAATGGAGGTGAATTGTACCTTCAGATTTACCCCGCAATTAACGGAAAACTATTATTTCTCGTACTCTCACAAGATATGAAACAGGACACTCCTTCGGCAAATTGCTGTGACATTTAAGCTCGGCATGATGCACCATCTGTTGGACTTTGCAGAGCTAATCATTCTTCTAATATTAGCAGCAACATGCAATAGGCTGACACAGGGAGCTAAAGGATAAAATGAATCTGTGGACTACTTAAGTTTCACAGAGAGAAAAGTTGATTCCTTCAGCTATCTCCTGAACTAACTTTGAAATGTTGACATAGTCTCTGCTTCAATCACTAACTATTAGCTCTTTACAACATCTCTGCTGATAACAAAATCTCCTGTTCTCTGCTTAAAACTCTTACTTAATCTTATACAACCTGGCCCCTTGCTCGATGGCCTACACTCCATAATTACAGTTGTAAATCCTATTCTGTCTACACTGTCTTATTTCTTTGAATTTTAAACAGTAAGCAATTTTTTCAGAAAACCTATTTATCTGCCTCAATTCAATAAAACCTGGAATTAAAACAGAAAATAATAGAAACATTCCACAGGTCAGATAACATCTGAGAAATGCAAAAGAGTTACAGAGAGTTGCAAAACAGAGTTATGAGTGATTCTTTGGAGTTGTAAAGATTTCATGAATTTTAAAAATGGAAAGATCAGGAACATCCACCCCATTTATGCCAGTAGGAGAAAGGGGATGTGACGTGATTCCCAGATGTGGAAAACTTAAACTCAGCAGGGCCATTTGTACTCAGTGCTAAGGGCAGAACTGTGGCTCAGTGGTTAGCACTGTTGCCTCACAGCTGCAGGGATGCAGATTCGATTCCACCCTTGGGCAACTGTCTGTGTGGAGTTTGCATGTTCTCCCTGTGTCTGTGTGGGTTTCCTCCCATAGTGCAAAGATTAGCCATGCTAAGTTGCCCATAGTGTTCAGCAATGTGTAGGCTAGGTGCGTTAGACATGGGAAATGTAGGAAAGGCTAGAGGGATGGTTCTGGGTGGGATGTTTTTTGGAGGGTCAATGTGGACTTGTTGGGCCAAATGGCCTGGTTCCACATTGTAGTGATTCTACAGTTCAAACTGACCCTATTTTTACTCATGCAAGGACCTTATCTTGAAGAGTGGGAATTACAGATTTTTGGAAGGGATGTAAATCATCATGAAGTGTGCTTAAGGTAAATAGAACAATCAAAATTGTGAAGTTATTTGAAAGGCCTACCCTTTAACAGTTGAGAAGAAGTAGCCCGCCTAAATCAGTGAGTTAAAAAAAGTCTGCGCGAGCAGATTTAATCGCAGTTTGTTGAAATAATCCCAACTGCTATAGTTATAACTTTATTACTGCTTGACTGTTTTCTTCAATTAATGGTTATCACAGTGAGGGAGAGGGGCTGTAAGTTCACAGATTCATTGACAGCTTAAAGATGCTATTAAAGGATAAGTTATCTTCAGTCTGAAGTAATTTTTTTTTATTTTATAATGCATTTAATGTTTAAGGAAGTTTAATAACATTTAGTTTTATTGAGGTGAGTTTTCTTTATATACTGAACTCTGTATTAGATATTTAAAACAACATTTTATTCATCTTTGCATGCCTTCCAAGGTCTGTCCAGTGTGGACACTGGGTCAGTTGGCATGGGTGTAAGTGCAAACGGTGGTGTATAGCAGCATGGGTTAACACTTGTTGGTACTAAACTGACATAGGGCTAGAAGTGGTGGATGGGAGTATGTTGTTACTAAATTGGCATAGTGCTGAAAGTGGAAATAGGGGTGGGTTGGCATGGATGAGACATGGGTAGTGGTTGGAGGTGAGGGTGTGTAAGGTGTGAGACTTAAAGAACCAAATATTTAATAAAATGAAAGGCAGAGGCAGGAAAGCCACC